TATGAGCGTGGGTGTGTGGGGCCGTCCGTCTGCAGGGCTGCAGCTGGGAGACCTGGCAGAGGCGTCTGTCTGGTGCTTCCTGTGGAACATTTTTACAAACAAGCTGGATGAAGACGCAGGAGGCCTGTTTATCAAATTTATAGGAACTGCAAAGTTGGAAGGCTGAGCTAGTAAGTTGATGGCAGAGTCAAGATGTTTAAATATTTCATCAGGATGAAATTAACAGGATCACATCTGCATCATAGAATTGCAGTATTGCGAGGCATTTTCAGATCGTCTGGTCGGAAGCATATATCTTACCATGAGTAAGATCCAGAGAGTTTCCATATTTTGGCCAAGGTTGTACAAATCATCCTCACCTGTAAGGCTCAGAAACACCTTGACCTCGTCACATCTGCAGACAGGCCTCTCCAGAACCAGGTCTTCCCTCCCATGTCTGCATTTTCCCCACGTCCCATGGCAGCACCCTGGCAGAGTGACGCCGTCTCAACCTGTGTCAGCGTCTGTGTCTCTTCCCTGCTCATGTTCTGTCTTGGAGCCATGGTCCACTAGAATGTCTGCTGTTTCTGCAGAGTCTCTCCAATAATTGTGTTCATGAGAACACCAACCGGAAGCCCACCACAGGGACCCCTCTGGCACTGCCCGTCTCTGCACTGTGGATTTCAGCCCTGACACCTGTGGCAGCTGAGGCTTCACGTCTGTGTAACCTTAATTCATGTCCCACTAGACTGTAAGCTCCTTGGGCAGTGAGGGGCTCCTTGTTCCAGCTACAGCGTCGCAGGGCCTAGTATGGGTGGACACACAGCACCTGCAAGCTGGAGAGGGAGGGAAGGAGCAGGAGGGGTTGCTCTGAGGGGTCGATGTGGACCATCTCACTGAATCCACACGACAGCCCTAGGTGAGTGCTAGGACCACCTCATGGGAGCATGCTGGGGCTGAAGGCGTCAGTATATTTGCCCGCGTAGAGGTTTGGATCTTGACCCATCCAGCTGGGCTGTCTGAGCCTCCATCCATCTGGGTCATGCTGTGATGAGGCACCTGGGTGTCAGCCTGCGAGGGAATGGGTGGGTGCCTCAGCCTGGCTGGAGAAGCTGAATGTCACACATCCCATTCCTCTAACCTGGAGCCAGCAACTCCTTGGTGTTTGTCATTCCTTTGCCAGGGCAATGGTTCCAACCTCAGAGATGGTTCTGCAGAAAGGATCTGGTGGAGAGAAGTGCCTCTGAGGGTTTAGGGGTGCGCTCTGCACCCACAGCAGGTGTGCACAGCCTCAGAAGGACCATTAAAGTGTCTTGTTTACAAAGGGAAAATCGTGGCTTTGGTTGCAGTGCCCGGAACCCAGCTCCACTGGGTCTCAGATTTGTGCATTTTACTGGATAATATGCTGCCCTCTGCACATGGGCAAAATCAGAAAACCTCAGCTTTACAGACCTACCAGCGTGGGACAGATGCCTGCATGTGCACACACACAGGCTCACACACACGAATCATTGACAGATCAATTGGCCAGCTCAGAGGCTGGGGGAAGGGACAGAACCAGGAGAAGAGAGCTCAGGGGTGGGATGCTCACCACACTGAGGGGCAGAAGGCAGGGAGGGGCTGACCCTGGGCGTGAGGGCCCCCCGCCCAGCGTTATGGTGCCCAGATTTCAGGAGCACCTACCCTGGTTAAAGGTTGACCAAGACCAGGCCCCTTTCAACCTATACACTAGACCTGGAAAACTTCCCAAATCCATGGGTTACCTTAACGAGGCTTCTGTGATGCAGTAAGGCTGCCTCCCCGGCTCGCAACCGGCAGTGCTTGTGCACACCAATTAGTGTGTCCTCGGGGACGCCGCCTTTACCGGCAGGAAAACCATGGCTTGAGCTATCTTTACTAAAAGTATTAGAATTCACTTTTTATTAAAGGTACAGAAATCATTCAGCCACAAGAATATCAAAGATATATTTAGCTAGTTTGCATTTGCTTTCAACCGATTCTAACAGAACTGATAGCCATTTGGAAGGCATGCAGCAGTCCTGAATAGAGTATTGTGTTGAATAAGCTTCAACACACCATCACCGCACAGTCTAAATGTGCCTTTTCTTCTTATTTCAAGTTGCAACAATACAGGCCTTGTTTCACATTTCTATTTTTAACTAATGAAAATTTATTACAGGGAAATCCTAATTATACCCTTTGGAGTACGATACAATTGGAAATCCACTGGTAATATTCTTTTCTCAAAATTCCATGTAATTGCATACGAAGCAGAGAATGTAAATTCTCCTGGAATAGTTGGTCTATAAATACAATTCTCGAATGGGCTGAGCAATCTTTTGGTTTCTTTGCACATTTTGTATTCGTTGGGATTAATCCATATTACAGCCCCTGTGAGTGAAAACCCCTTGTTAGACATAAGGCATTGTATATTCTCAGCACATCCTCAACATGGTACTAATGAATTTCCCAGGACCTTGGACAGACCATGAGGAAACACTTCTCACTTGGCAGGTGTTGGGAGGCCTGGACGGCCGGGTCTGGCCCCTAGATGACCACCTGTACCTTTTCCCGTCTGACCCCTTACCTCCTCTCCAAATGAGGAAGTAGTGTAATCTTCACCTAGCATCCAGACCTCCTGGAGGAGGCCCACGTGGGCCACATGAGCCTGCATGGTGGGAGCTGTCCTGTGCATTGGAGGACAATTCACAGCATCTCAGGTCTCCACTCCCAGGTGCTGGTAACATCTCCCCAGTTGTGGCAACCACAAATGTCTCCAGACCTTGCCAAATACCCCCTGGGGCCAAATCATCCCCAGTGGAGAACATGGCACTATTGTCAAAACCAGCTGGACAGTAGTTAAAGCCATAAAATCAGATTATATTCACGACTGTGGCAAAGGAGGAAAAGAGACCAGGCTCAATTCCAAATTTGGCATGGAAAAGCAGGAATTGAGAGCCACGGTCAGGGCTGGGGGTCAGTGGGTGGAAAATTAACAAGAGCAGACTTCAGGGATCAGGGAGTTTTGGCTGAACCAACCTTAGCAGATTCTTGCTGAGTCGGATCTGGGGGATGGCGGAGGATGAGAAATCTGATAAGGTGTCCAGGTGAGCAGAGTAAGGGAAGGGCGGGGAATACTATGGCTACTCAGTTTAGCAGTACTCTTAATGCAAAGGTGAGCATGGAAGTTCAAAATCCTAGGCCTACTGAAAAGTTCAGGGGAGCTTGGGGAGACCGTGGCCCAGGAGAGACTCTTGCCTCTAGGCCAAATCAGAAAGCCCAGACAAAGGTTCAAAAAAATCACAATTCAGCTCCCAGGGTGAGCTGGTTTTGAAAGGAGCAGGTAAGGCCCATGCCTTTCGATGCACGTTCCTGCCATTCCTACATCTCCAAGCACTTAGGGAGCTCCCAGAATGTAGGAGGCCCTAAGCCACTGCTTGTGAGAGGACTGCTCTTCATGATTGCTGGCTGAGCTTGACCTAAGTGCAGCAGAAAATGAGGGAGCTCGGCCGGGCGCAGTGGCTTGCGCCTGTAATCCCAGCACTTTGGGAAGCCAAGGTGGGCAGATCACGAGGTTAGGAGATGGAGACCATCCTGGCTAACATGGTGAAACCCCGTCTTTACTAAAAATACAAAAAATTAGCCGGGCGTGGTGCCAGGTGCCTGTAGTCCCAGCTACTTGGGAGGCTGAGGCAGGAGAATGGTGTGAACCTGGGAGGCAGAGCTTGCAGTGAGCCGAGATTCCACCACTGCACTTCAGCCTGAGTGAGACGCCATCTCAAAAAAAAAAAAGAAAAGGAGGGAGCTCTCAAATGGGTGGTCTGATGATGCCATGGGTAGGTGTGGGAGCAGGGCCAGGCCAGGGAGCAGGCCCATGAAGGCTCAGCATGGTCGGACCAAGGGTGTGCCAAGCCTGCGTGGGTTGAGTCTGCCCATCCTGGAGAACAGGCTGCATCCTGAGGTGCGGGGGGCAGCTGATGGACCTGCTCCCAGGCAGGCCCAGGGTGGGAAGGAGGGGAAGCCAGACGCAAGAAGAACGGTGTCTGCATTTGGCCAAACACGTTCTTCCAGCAGCAAACATTTAATTTTTTCAAAAGGATATTTCTAGATGCTTCTTAGAGTCCAGTGTAGAACCATAAAGAGATCTATCCATGTGCAGTTAAAATAATGCAAGGGGGAGAGTTGGTACTTGAGAAAGGTGGGCCTCTCACATTTCTTCCATAGGAGTAGGGTCCCGCCTCCCTGCCCTTGTGGTTTGAAAGGGAGTGCTGGTCAACTGCCCAGCCTAGCACAGCCAGCTCGTGGGGTCCCTCCCTCCCTGCCCACCCTGGGTTCCACCTTGTGCAGCTCCTGCTGCTGCCCACAGTGTCTGGGGCCTTGGCAGGGGCCACCCCTCTGCTGTAGGAGGGAACTTCTCCAGGGACCCTGGGTGATCCCATCCTCCCCTGTCCTCTGTGCCTGGGGAGGGGTCCCAGCCTCCTTCTTTGTCACTGAAGTTTCCCTTTGGGGTTAGATCTCAGGACACAGATGGTTCTGTGCGTAACTGTCTTCCAGGCATTTGTCCAGAACAAAGGGGCCATGAGTGAGTGAAATGATTGTTCGGATGAAAAGCCTGCTACTTATCCCTCCATGACCCTGTCTCTGCAGTGGCACCTGAGGCTTGGCTTCCGTGCCGTGGGCCGTGGGCAGCACGGGGACCTGGAGTGAGGGCCTGCCCGGGAGACACGCCGGTTGGCCTCCGGGGTGTGGTTCTGCCTGCACCTGAGCTGCAGCTTCTCGCAGCTGGGCCCAGGGCTGGGACTTCAATTCCAGCCTCCCGCCCTGGACACAGCCAAGCCCCGTGCCTGCCAGGAGCAAATGTGCCACCTTTGCTGGGGAGACCACGTCAGGCTTTGTGAAGAGTTGTCAAAGAGACTGAGTTTCTGAAAGACTTACTTTAAGGAGGGTTTGTAAAGGTTGCAATAAGAACCAGCTGGGTCCCCATGAGTGTGTCTAACTCTCTGCATCTTGTGTCCCTGAAGGACCGAAGGCTGCGGGAGTCCCAGGCCAGAGGAGGCAAAGAGAGAGGACAAAGGCACAAGGACGCCACCCCCACAGATCCTCCTGCCCCTGGAGGAGCGCGTGACCCACTTCCGAGACATGCTGCTGGAGAGAGGGGTAAGGCGCAGCGGCTGAGGGGCTGCACTCCGGCGGCAGACCCGGGGGAACAGCAGCTGAGTCACCGTCCCTGCCTGAGGGATGTCTCCTCCTCACTGAGTTCATAATCAGGCAGGGTGACTGTCCTGGCCTGAGAGATGATGTGTCGTCCTTACTGAGTTCCTGATCGGGCTAAGTGACCATCCCAGGGCCTGAGGGATGCCTCCCCCTTACTGTTCCCGATTGTGCTGAGTGAGGGGGCAGGTGCTAAGTGAGTGGAGGCCGAGGGGCAGCCAATGTGGAGAGGACGTCCTGCTTCACCTCTGAAAGGAGAAAGGTGCCTTTGTGGTTTCTCCTGTGGGCGTGAGGCCTGAGAGGCCGGCAGGTGGGGTCCACAGGGAGGCCAGGTCCTGGGTGGCCTGAGGAAGCACGCACTGTGCAGATGGGATTCCTGCAGGAGCTGGGCCAGGTCGCGGTGCCCAACCTCCCTGTGCAGCTTCCCCATGGGGTTGTCCATCCTACCTAGTGGGACTCGCTCCCCTAGGGATGAACGTGACTGTTTTTAAAATAAAATTAGGATATCTTCAGTGTAGCTGATTTCCAAATCTCACTTTGAATTGGGGGCCGGGTGGATTTTATATTCAGATCCCCTTTCAATGACTATCATTTCCTGCTTTGGCTCTGGGTATAACATGAGCCAGAGGCAGTATTTCAGCCCGGCTGGATTTCCTCAGAAAGTAAGGCTGAATGCAGACGGCAGTGATGGGCCCCACGTGTAAGGATATTTATAATGAACACACAAACGGCCTTTCAGACTGAAGAGCAAGTTTCCTCTGCAGCCAGCACCCAGCCCCCAGGCCGCTTCCTGGCCCTCCCACAGCTGGTAACTCCCAGGGTCCTGGAGAGGGGCAGGGACGGAGCTGCCTGGAGACGCAGCTCCCTGCAGAACAGAGAGGTCTGAGCAGAACCCTCATAAGGGTTAGGGCTCGGGGGCTGTCCTGGGTCTGGGTTAAACCCTGGGGGAATAGGAGACATTGAGCAGATCCTGCCCCTTAGGAATTTGATGGAGGAAGGAGCTGGTCCCACCCACCCCCAGGGACACGTCTCCTCCAAAGCCCCTTGAATTTGAATGTGTGCCCCTGTTTATGTATTTCGTCATTCACTCAGAGGTAAAACACAGCCCTGGGCCTCAAGGAACCAGAAGGAAAAGTAGGCGTGTGAGCTGGTGACTGCAGTGCGTGTGTCAGGCTGAATTAACACACGCGCCGAGAGGCACGGAGCATGATGTGGACTCACACGTGTGTGGAGCTGGCCCTGGCACGATGCGCCGCCTGGGTGTTGGTTTGTTTTTCAAAAAATGTTATTTTAAAAGCTATTTTTACTAGGCTCAAATTTTGTTTTAAAACAAGACTTTAGTCCCTCCCTCTTCCTGCCCCCGGGGCTTCCTGCCCTCCCGCCGCTCTTGGCCTGGGGGTCCTTGTTGTAGTTTCTCCTAACTTGGTCTCTGCAGCGTGGCGAACAGCTCTCGCCCTGCCCCGAGGGGCTCCAGGGGAGGTGCCGCCACGAGTTCCCCGTGTGCCTTCACGGACTCTTCTTTATCCTGGTGGACGGCCTGATGCCCAAGTGTCCAGCCGGTGACTGGGCGGTCCTCTCACAGGAAACCTGCTTATATCGGCACATGCCCTTGTGACTGTGTCTTTACCAAGATAGTCACCTTCTAGGAGGGCCCTGCCTGGGAGCAGGGTCAGGTTCGGGGGTGTCACTGGGCGAGAGGCAGGAGAGGCCGTTTTGTGACCCACAGGTCCAAGTGCAGGCAGTTTCCCAGTCCTTACTGTTGTGCCCCTGCGACTGCATGGCCCTTGTGGAAATGGCTGTAATTCTGAGTTTCTGAATAGGCCTGGCCAGGCTGGCCTGGTTGGATTATCAGGCAGGAGACATGACTCGTCTTCCCTGAAACATGATGGCATCGTGAACATTTGGGAAATAGGAATAGAACATTCCCTTTATCTTACTAACGTCCAAGTTTTCCATCTCTTTGTTTTGGAAATGAGGCAGGCCCAATTTACCAACACAGTTTTTTTGTTTTTTTGTTTTTTGAGACGGAGTCTCGCTCTGTCGCCCGGGCTGGAGTGCAGTGGCCGGACCTCAGCTCACTGCAAGTTCCGCCTCCTGGGTTTACGCCATTCTCCTGCCTCAGCCTCCCGAGTAGCTGAGACTACAGGCGCCCGCCACCTCGCCC